CAGAATAATATTAAAAAATATTATTCCAGAAAATAAAAATATTAAAAAAAATATTAAATCACTATTTAAGGTCACTTTTTTGTATAAACTAGCAATAGTGAAGTATTCAGGAAAGCAAATATAAACTTTAAATACATTTTCATTTTTAAGTTTTCCCTAAAATTGTAATGGTCAGCATTTCCATTTATTATGAGGCTCAGAAGAACAATTTACATTTAAAAAAATGTTATTTTTAGACAGAAAAAGTACATAGAATATACAAAAGCGGCTAAAATAAAGCTTCATTTACTGAATTAAGGAATAAAAATAAACTATACCAATCCGAGACCTTAGCATACCATAGCCAGCTATACTATTATTTAATACAAAATAAGGCTGCTCAGAAGCCCTTTCAAAGTATTTACTGAAATACTAAATATGTCAGCCTTTTAGAATTTAGAATTATAAAGGAAAGTCCAGATGGTCTAACATAACCTGCTGGTTCATAGATAAAAAAGATGAGGTCAGGGGTGATTTTCTAACTTATGATAGGATTACCCAATTAGTAAAAGTCAAGCTTGGAACCTAGCTCTTCTGGCTTCTAAAGTGTTGTCCTGTCCAATGCTTTTTGGTGCCTCACTTCATCCATGTTTCTGAACCAAAAGACATTTTGTGTGTGATACGGACAACAGAGTAGCAAAGTGGAAAGGGAACAGGATTTAGAATCAGACAGACCTGGGTTCAATGATGACTCTGCTACTTAGAACCTGTGCAACCCTGAGCAAAGACCAAAACCTCAGTCAGAAATAAAATGAGGGAGGGTAGTAACAATGCTTTCACATAGTTGCCTGATGATTATGTGTTAAAATTCCCAACACCTACCACTAAGTGCTCAAAAATATGCATCAGTAACTATTATCTTTCACTTTCATATACTATTGCCCCAGAACAAGCTTTAGCAAGCCCTAAGATTTCTCTCGATGAAACAACCCTTTGCACGCCCATGTACTTCCACAGAACAGTTACAAAAAATACCTTTAGAGACACAAACAGAACCATATGTAACACGAAGACACAGGTCAAACCAGACCCATGATCCAAGAACTCTGAGTGTGGCACCAAAGAGGTGACTGTCCGCAACAATCAAGGAATCTCCTCATTAAATTTATAACTTACCTCCTAATCTCTCTACTATCCCTTTTCTGCTTTTTAATCCCCATAGCCTTTCTCACCATTGAATATAGTACTTATTTTACTTGTTGAGTTGGCTTATTTTCTGTCTTACCCACTAGAAAATACAACCAACATGAGGGCACTCATTCCAGTTTATTATATTACTGCTAATTCCTACATGCCTGGTAGAGCATCTAGCATCAGTAGGCACTCAAATATTTGTTGAATGAATATTTCATGTTGAATGAATGAATTACTTTATTCAAATACATTTGGAAGCTATTAATATATACTATCTAAAACAATATTTTGGAATAATCAATTCTGTAAATTTGCTACCTGCCTGTTGTGAAAATCACTTATTTTTTTCTTATTCTCGTCTTTTCTTTTTTGAGGAAGATTAGCCCTGAGCTAACATCTGCTGCCAATCCTCCTCTGTTTGCTGAGGAAGACTGGCCCTGAGCTAACATCCATGCCCATCTTCCTCCACTTTATGTGTGGGACGTCTACCACAGCATGGCTTGCCAAGTGGTGCCATGTCCATACCCGGGATCTGAACTGGTGAACCCTAGGCCGCCAAAGCAGAACGTGCACACCTAACTGCTGTGCCACTGGGCCGACCCCTTATTCTCAAGTCTTATAACTCTGTATGAAGTAATTCGGCGATAACAAGATTATAAAGATTTATTTCTTTTTAAAAAAAATTTTAAAAACAGCTTTATTGACATATAATTCACATGCCAAACCATTAACTCATTTAAAGTGCACAATTCAACGGATTTTAGTATATTCACAGAGTTGTGAATCACCACACCATCACCACAATTTTAGAACATCACCCCAAAAGGCAACCCTGTACCTATTATCAGTCACTCCCCTCCCCTCCTCCTCCCCAGCCCTAGACAATAACTATCTACTTTCAGTTTCTATAGATTTGCCTATTTTGGGCCTTCTACACAGATATGGTATCATACACAATGTGGTCCTTCATGACCAACTTTTCATGTAGTATAATGTTTTCAAGGTTCATCCATGTTTGTAGTAGGTATCAATAATTCATTGTTTTTATGACTGAATACTTTTCCATGGTATGAGTATACTGTATTTTGTTTATCAATTCATTAGGTGATGGATATTTGCATTTTTTCCACCTTTTGGCTGTTAGGAATGATGATACCACGAACATTCATGTACATGGCAAGGATTTATTTTTTGTAGTCTTCTAATTTATCCATGAGGTAGTTCTAAAGAGATAAAGAGATTTGCCCCAGGTCACTCAGCTGGTAGGCAACAAAGCAGAATTAATATTCTGGGCCTACAACTTCCAGCCCAGTACCCTTCCCCTGGACTCTAACGACATCACTGAAATTCACCTCTACATTTTTCACACTTAAGACACAGTCCAAAATCCCTTTAACTTTTAGAAGCTCTTCTTTATGACGTTTCTAATTCCCTTCCATCTTTCTTAATAGAACAAAGCCAAACATGGTTGTGGTTATCTTGACACAATAGTTTTATATAAAGATAACCAAGAACTAAGTTGGATTAACTGTATTACCAAACCAACAGAAAATAAGTACAAATTATACAAAAACATTTGCAGTTGTCAAATTAGTTAAAATTTAGTGATGACTTACCTTTATTTTACAAGCCTGAGTGGAGGACTCCAATTTTAAATATTTTTTGTAGAGAATAATTTCATGTTCACTAAAAATAAAATAGAATTTAAATTATTTTAATTTTTAGTAGTTACATTTAAAAATGAATTATTTCCAGATCATTACTTAAATCCTGAGATTCAATTTGTCTGGTAAAGGACAGAGTTTGGGGGCCCCTACTTAAGTGACCTGGTTATAAGCACTGGTTTCTGCCTGTGGGAAAGAATTAAATCAGATAATCTATATCAAATCATGTAGCACAGAGATATAGTAAACCTTAATAAACGTAGCTACTATTTTCAATATGCACAGTATACAAAATGGTCCATATTTTGAGTTACATTAAGAAGAAATCAGGGTAGAATCTTTGTATAAAAGCCTAGAGAAAAACCAAACTACAACATGCTGAATTAGGGGTTACACACGTCGGTGTGGCAGAGTCTTGGGCCGGGCACCATTTGTGATGGGCTTCTTTCCAAAAACATGTTTTCTAAGTTCCAGACTGACTGCCAGACTCAATTCTGGAAAACAGACCATTGTGAGTTCAGGGAGAAAGCCAAAAAGCAGCAACAAGCACTGCGCTCTCCAGTCTAAACAGTCCAACTAGTAGGACCCCCACCGAGTCATCTCCCCTTATTAGCTCCATATTTCCACATTTACAGAAATGAGAAAGCTGATCTAGACGGTCTTTAAGATCCCTAGAGACCTAAATTTCTACGCCTGCTGCTATGTTTTCATTCTCTCTGCCCTGATGTCTGGCGCCAATATGAGAAGCAATAAACGCCGCACAAGCTGAGGACGACAGACACACGACTGCGGACGATCAGCCCCCACGCGGAAGGCGCCCACCTGCCGCCCAGAGCACCGCGAACACTCTGGCCCCTGCCGGTTCCACAGTACTCCTCTCCCAAGTACACTTCCATGTTTCGGGCGGAACTTAAAACGCCCACAGAAGCGATTTCTTCCCCGCCCTCGGGGTCACATCGCAGGTAAAGGAAGCAGGGGTTTCCATCCCGGCCGCTCGGGCTGCTCCTCAAAACCACCAGGTCCGGCCTGAAAAGCAAGGTGTTCGAAACGTCACCCAGGATCGTCCTGCGAACACGGCCCATAACGCGCTCGTGGCCGCGGGCCTCTCCCAGCTCACGTCCCTCCGCCTCTGGGGTCCAGCACCGTGCCGGGTGCCCCCACACGCTCAGTCACACGGACACGGGGGCTGCAGGCATCGGGGCCTCCCCGCTACCGGGTCCTGCGTCACCGACGGTCTACGCAACGCCCTGGAACTGTTCTCATTCCCACAGAAACTGCACCGGCACCGCCTGCGCGCACAGCAGCGCGGAGCAGGGCACGAGGCACAGGGGCGTCTTTCCAGCTAAGCCGGCGGGGCTCCTCCACGGCTGGCGCGCTCCCGCCCGTGCCGGCCGACAGGGGCTTCCGCGGGTCGGCGGGAGGGCGCGGACTCCGAGGCCGCCAGGGCCCTCGGGGCCACAGGCCCGCCTCAGGGACGCGCCGAGACGCCGCGTTGCGGGTCGCCCCACGCTCCCGCCCCGGGCAGCCGCCGGCCCGCGGACCCGCCCCCGCCGCCGGCCCTCGCCGCCCGCAGACACCTGTCGCCCGTTCTGCTCCCGCAGGGACCCCGGGCCGCACCCTCTCCCTCACGGCCCCCGCCGCCCCTCACCGCTCCCCCGGGAGCGTGGCTGTCACCAAGCGGCACCCCCAGTCCCGCCGGCCCGGCGCACCCCGGGGCAGGCGGCGCCAGCAGCTCCTCCCAGTCGAAGTCCCGGGCGCCGTGACCAGCCCGGGCGAGATGGAGGCTCTGGGCCAGGGCCCCGCATGCGGCATCCCAGGAAGAGCCCAGCATCGGGCGGCGGGTCAGTGCCGCGTCCCCGGTCCCGCTCTCCATCGTGCCGGCTCCAGCCCAGGCCGGCCCCGGAACCTCTCTTCTAGCGCTTGGGTTTCCGCCGGGGCCCAGTGGAAGAGAAGAAGCAGAGCAACTTCCAGCTCGCCTGGCTTCAAACCCAAGAGCCGCCCCTACCCGCTCCAGCTGGGAGAGAAACGCCTACTGGAGACACGCATGCGCATGCCAAGAGGCTTCCAAACCGGCGGGGCGAGCTCAAGCGCGGAGCATGCGTACTGACGGCGCTCGGCCTACCGCTGGAGCTGTGCGCAGGCGCGGTGCGGTGCGCGCGGAAGCTGGGGCGGTTTTTCGACGTTGCGGCGGAGAAACAGCAGGCGGTGTGGCCGGCGGTTGCTAGGCGGCTGGGGAAGGTTGGTCCAATGAGGAGAGTCGGTCGTCAGGTAGATGTGGTGTCGTCCGCCACGTGACCTGCAGGGCGTCCTCCCCACCCTCACGGCCTCTGGATGGGAAGCGGTTACACGGGGCGACGGGGCGGCGGGGCGGCCCCGGAGTTGGGTGGTCCTCTCCCTCGTCATCCTCCCCACGCACATTCTGGCTCTCTAGGGTGGTCAGGGGGAGGCTTGAGCGTGGGGGCCGGAGGCCCGGGCCTCCGGCTCCCACCGGACCGTGCAGGGGTGCAGCCGAGACAGCGGACCTGGGGCTCTCAGGCCGCAGGAACCAGGGTCGCCGGGGTTGGACGGAAGATGGAGAAAGACCCAGGGCAGGGGGGCCCGCACTGCGCGATCTGCTCTCCTGGCCCTGGCAGGAGCGAGCAGAAACGGGGCCCGGGGTCTCTGGTGGAGTAGAGTGAGCTGGGCACTGCAGGACCTTGAAGCTTTGGGGCCAGAGAAGTGGGAGCAGATGGAACTTTCTGGATGCCTGGCGGGGTAGGAAGGTAAATGGTGCCTCCCCACTACCGTTATCCATCCTCTTCCTAAAGAGGCCTGTGCGGATAAGTTTTCCCTCTTTTCAAAGAAAAAAGCAAATGAGATTATAGAAAAGTGGAACGTCGGATTTTTAAGTCCTTAATTGTAAAGGTCCTAGTTTGCAAAGATTGTTTTACTACTCCAGAGTCATTCTAGGTTGTCTACGTCAGTATTTCTGGCCTGTATGTCCTGCTTCCTCTGTTCATAAATTAATTTTCATTCATATTAACGTATTTGGACAGTCTAAAGGAAAATAGGCTCTTCTTCACAAACACCAATCTGCAATTTAAGGAGCGAGATCAATATTATCAGCTAGATTGTTGACTTCCTTAAATAAGGCTGAATGACCAGGAATCAGAAAACTAAGGACTGCAGTGGTCTCCTTTTTCTTTCATTCCCGTACAGCCAATAAATCGCTAAGTCTTGATTTTCTTAAACGGAAGCTCTGTCTGTCTCCATCTCGGCTGCTTCTCTTTTTGGGCACTAGCTTTCGTTTGAACAATTCCAGGAGTTTCTTTACTGTCATTAGACTTCGTTCTCGTCACCTCCTTACATCTTCTGCACTGCCCTCTGCTCCTTCTGGTGCTTGATGCTCCTGACTGAGTCACCATCATCTTTACTGTTTAGCACAGCACACAAAGCCTTGTGTACTCTTGACTCCTGCCTGCCTCCCTGCCTCCTCCAACCTTTGCATATGCTTTTCTCTACCTGGAATGCCCTTTCTTTTGGATAGTAGGGGGAATCCTGTTTATCACTCAAAATCAAGCAGATATCCACTCTGCTATAGAATAATTCCTCTGTACTACACCTAACACTTTTTAGGTATGTCAAAGAAAAACCAGAGCTGGACAGTAAAAACGGATTTTATTTAAAACTATTGCAGTAGAGGAAAAGACCTCAGTATAGAACTGGGCTCAATTCAAATAGAGCATGGACAAGTGGGAATTTATAGCCAAAGGTAGGGGGTTAGTGGGTGGAAAAGTACTAGGAGGAAACATTAAGGGTCAAGGGGGTTCTGACTAATCTGGCCTAACAATTTTGCTGAACAGAGGCCAGAGTGATCAGACATCACTGGCAGGATGGTGGAGGTTGCGGCACCTGATTGGATCTTAAGGGTGATCAGATTTGGAGGATGGGGGACTCTTGCTAAACTGACGATTAAGGGTTTTTGCTAAAACTGGATTTTACAAGGAGGTACACAGATGAGCCTAGGAGAAGGTTCAGGAGGCTGAGTAAAGTTTGGTCAAGGAAGGAATCTTTGTTAGGTACTGTAATTCTCTTGTGGTTTCAGACTTTATCAGTTTACATATTTGTGTTCCCTACCATCTGTAGGCTTGCTGAGATTGCTGTTTGGCTCACATTCTGGAAACAGATCTGAAATATGCTCCTAAAGAGCATATTGAGTTCTGATGTATAAATGAGCTATAACAGACTTTAGAATAGATGAGTATTTAAATAAGTTTAAATTTAATTTTTTAAAATTTTTAAAATTTAATTTAAATAAGTTTAAATTTAAATTTAAATAATATGAGTATTAAAATAAGATGAACCATGCAATTTTTTACTCACCTATTTTGTTGTTGTTTTCTGAGGAAGATTAGCCCTGAGCTAACATCTGTGCCAGTCTTCCTCTATTTTGTATGTGGGATGCCTCCACAGCATAGCTGATTAGTGGAGTAGGTCCACACACAGGATCCGAACCCATGAACCCAGACCACCAAAGTGGAGAGCAAGGAACGTTAACCACTCTGCAACAGGGCCAGCCCCTACTCATCTATTTTAAAGTTTGTTATAGCTCATTATTACATCAGAACTCAATATGCTCTTTAGGAGCTTATTTCAGATCTGTTTCCAGAATGTGAGCCAATGCATGTTTGAAAGATATATTTTAGAAAAAAGTGACTTGGGGTATTAATTTTCTTGGGCCTTTTCAGTTAGTAATACAACAATTTAGATGTTGACCATCCTAATTTTAAGTATAGCGAATTCTTACTGTATATTCTCTGCCTGATACCCAGGAGTATACTTCCCAGCAAGGTGGTTATGGAAATTTAACTTACCCTCTCAGCTAGTACCACTTGGGTTGTACCTCCTCTCCTCCCTTCCCTTTTCCTCTGGTCCTTGCAGGTCCCATGATTGCCAGGAATTCCTTCTTCTCACTCTTTGTCAGTGCTGGACCTGCAATTAAGGAAGGAGTGGAAAAGAAAGAGGAGCCTCCCTACCCTTTTCCCCTAACTTCATTTATAGCTGCTCCCCACCCCCACCTCATTTAGAACCTCTGTTCTGGTTAGCAACATTGCTGGACTCTATACAGTTTTCAATACAGCCTGGCCTTTCTGAGGAAATGTAGAAATGGTGGGGAAGCTCTTGATCTATAGCTGAATCTGTGCTCACATCCATGATTATTACCTATGTGACACCTTATTCTAAAGCTGTTTTGTGCGGTAAAGGGTTAACTCGAGAAGTTTGGGATCTTCAAAATTTGGACATTCCAAAGAAAGACATGGCTCTTGACCGGCTCCTTGAAATATCTTCTAAGCCATTGGAATATTCTGCTTGATAAGATTGTCCTTATTTTTTATTTTTCTGCTTTTTCTCCCCAAATCCCCCCAGTACGTAGTTGTATATTTTAGTTGTGGGTCTTCTAGTTGTGGCATGTGGGCTGCCGCCTCAGCATGGCCTGATGAGTGATGCCATGTCCCTGCCCAGGATCCAAATCGGTGAAACCCTGGGCCACCGAAGTGGAGCGCGCGAACTTAACCACTTGGCCACAGGGCCAGCCTGAAGATTGTCTTTATAATAGGAGCCTTGGGCCCCACAAGTTAGGTTATGCTGACAATGTGATTTATGGTGAGGGGCCACACTCTTGGTTTGACCTCCAAAGGCGCTAAAGACTGAGCAACTCATGTCAGCACTTGGGTGCTCTATGCCTATGTGACTGACCCCCAATAAAAAACCTTGGACATAAGACTTGGATGAACTTCTCTGATTGGCAGTACTCTGCACATGTTGTCACACATCTGTCCTGGCAGGATTAAGTGCTGTCCTTTAACTCCACTGGGAGAAGACAGCCAGAAGCTTGCACCTGGTCTCTCCTGGATTCTGCCTTATGTGCTTTTGCTTTACTCATTTTAATCTGTGTCTGTTCATGTTTAAAAATCTGTTATATGGCACACACAGTTAGCCACAAGACATGGTTATGTCTCATAGCCATGTTGAACTTATAACCATGAGTATAACAGCTTTTCTAAGTCCTAGCAAATCACTGAACCTGAGGGTGGTCTTGGTGACCCCGACACAGCTGTGGTCATCAGTATATGTCAAGAATTGAACATTCTTTCATTAGTAACAGCAATTCTAAGTGAGGAGAGTAGTAGAATTTTATTAGGGGATAGTGAGCGTGGCTTTAAAAAAGAACCCCACACTACTGTTACATGCTTTTTTTGCTTCCCTATGTCTGCCTGCCCTCACTGCCCTAGAGTCTTAGTAAAGAGAATAATTAAGAAATAAAATTAGGGGAAAGATTTCTTTAAAAATACACATATAGATATTAGTGGTGAGGTAAGTAGAGATCACATATCCATGTTTTGTTGGTAACTGTGGGCCTTATAACAGATTCTTAAAACTTTGGTTTCAGGAGCCTTTACCCCCTTAAATTATTGAAAACTGCAAAGAGCTTTTGTTTATTTGGTTTTGTCTTCCTAATTTAAAAAAATCGGGGCTGGCCCGGTGGCGCAGTGGTTAAGTTCACATGTTCTGCTTCAGCGGCCTGGGGTTCGCCAGTTCGGGTCCCGGGTGCGGACATGGGACCACTTGGCAAAAGCCATGTTGTGGTAGGCGTCCCACGTATAAAGTAGAGGAAGATGGGAATAGATGTTAGCTCAGGGCCAGTCTTCCTCAGAAAGAAGCGGAGGATTGGCAGTAGTTATCTCAGGGCTAATCTTCCTCCAAAAAAAAAGACAAAAATTAATAACTTTGTTCTAGTTGGATCTACAGTAATATACACTAATGTGAATGAGTCCAACAGAGTGGATTGCAAAGGTAACCAGTATTGAGTAACAAATATCTATGGAAAACTCCACTCTAGCTTCAGAATACCTGGCTTAAAATGAACTTTCATAATGGACCCATTTCATGAGATTGTTTTATCCTGCATTCTTGGGAACTCGGCAGTGACTTAGATTGTTTACCTAGAGTTTTAAGGTCTAGATGAACCAACTCTTCTTTTGGTAAGTTAATAATGAAGGAAAGTAGCATCCCAGGTAAATCAACTATAGGATGTATTTTGCCATTTTCTGTTTTGTTTTTGTGACACTTGCACATTCTGAAGAAGTAACCCATCAAAAGTTCTACATAATGTGTTTACAATTTATTTTGAATATTGCATGTTTCCTACAAAAATTACCCATATTTATGCAAAAGTATAGAATTTTGAGGTATGTTTATTAACATCCCTCCAGGGATGAGTTGAACTA